ACTAATAAAAATACAGAGAAGATGGTCAGGAAGAAATATATATATGCGAGACCACAAACACGTTCTGGTATAAAGAGGAGTCATCCTCCCGCTGACAACTCCACGAGTAACTACTGTGGCTAATGGGGTTGTTAGTGCCCCTCAGTTGCATTGCCAGACCACTCGTACGATAGTTTTTTCTCATTAACGGCAGCAAGCAGACTGTAGGCTCGAGCCGCTGGCTGGCATACAGCTACGTAGCCGGGCGTATGACCAGTTGTACGATAGTTTCTCTCTTATTAATGGCAGCAAGCAGACTATTGGCTAGCTGGCGTACAGCTACGTAGCCGGGCGTATGATCAGTTGTACGATAGTTTCTCTCTTATTAATGGCAGCAAGCAGACTATTGGCTAGCTGGCGTACAGCTACGTAGCCGGGCGTATGATCAGTTGTACGATAGTTTTTCTCTTATTGAAGGCAGCAAGCAGACTATTGGCTGGCTGGCATACAGCTGCGGAGCCGGGCGTATGATCAGTTGTACGATAGCTTTTCTCTTATTGATGGCAGCAAGCAGACTATTGGCTAGCTGGCGTACAGCTACGTAGCCGGGCGTATGATCAGTTGTACGATAGTTTCTCTCTTATTAATGGCAGCAAGCAAACTATTGGCTGGCTGGCGTACAGCTACGTAGCCGGGCGTATGACCAATCGTACGATAGTTTCTACCATTCTGCCAGGATAGCTGGCAGGTTTACCAGGAAAATCATTTTACGGTCAAGAAGCCTGGTATTTAGACGACATCTTAAAATGTACCAAGCCAGCAAACGTTGCTGCGCACCCAAGGAAAATGACCTCATAAAAAACTCGTTGTCCCTTTAGTATTTGCTTCTTTGTGTGAGCGAGGGAGAGAGTCGCTATGACGAGGCTACAGGGGCGAGAGAGGCTGCGAGCAGCGAGCCTAGTGAAGGAGCAGCTGCAGGAGGTGTGAGGCGGGGCAGGAGAGGCCATGAGGGGGGTAGAAGGATACGACGTAGCTTGGGGGCGCTGACCCCCTCTCTCGTCGTCCCCGACCCTGAACTGTGTTTTCTCTCTCTCTCTCTCTCTCTCTCTCTCTCTCTCTCTCTCTCTCTCTCTCTCTCTCTCTCTCTCTCTCTCTCTCTCTCTCTCTCTCTCTCTCTCTCTCTCTCTCTCTCTCTCTCTCTCTCTCTCTCTCTCTCTCTCTCACGCCTCCCCAAGCAACTTCACAAAGACCTGAAAGTCGTAGCATTAAACATTACTATGAATACCGTTTGCAAACATTTATACATGAAACTAATAAAGGAAGACTCTACAATGTGATTACAGTGGCCAGAATGATGTATGCTGAACTAAGTAAATACTGAGTACTGGAACTCTTGATGATATACTGGACTTGTACCCAAGATTGACTATGTAATGCATCAGTTATACAATGTCCGTGATGTAACTATACAACCTGAGCTTGTATAAGCATCTTAATCACCTTCAGTGGTTAAGTATTTAATAACACGCTAGTTGCTATAGCAGCTATCGTACCCTGTCATTTTAAAAGCACTACAATCACCTTCTGTGGTTGATTGTTCAATAAATCCTTGAACTATATGTTTAACAGATCTCTCAACCTGTCCATGGAGGACTGAACAAAATGTATATATGCTGGTTAGCACTGTAAATGTCTGGCCACGTCTGTGGTAGAAAAAAACATAATAATAGAGGAGTGTGTGTGTGTGTGTGTGTGTGTGTGTGTGTGTGTGTGTGTGTGTGTGTGTGTGTGTGTGTGTGTGTGTGTGTGTGTGTGTGTCCAAGCACTGACACTCACTCTACACCTTCTCACTTAAGCCTAACTAACACACCAGGTGTAATGACGTCACTATTAAGTGTGACGTCACCATTCCTATCCGCACTGCCGCACCATGCGGCATATACGACCTGCACCACAGGTCATCTTTGCCGCAGCCTGCATGGTGCCAGGAGTGTCACAGCCTGCATGGTGCCAGGAGTGTCACAGCCTGCATGGTGCCAGGAGTGACACAATCTGCATGGTGCCAGGAGTGCCACAGCCTGCATGGTGCCAGGAGTGCCACAGCCTGCATGGTGCCAGGAGTGTCACAGCCTGCATGGTGTCAGGAGTGTCACAGCCTGCATGGTGCCAGGAGTGTCACAGCCTGCATGGTGCCAGGAGTGTCACAGCCTGCATGGTGCCAGGAGTGTCACAGCCTGCATGGTGCCAGGAGTGTCACAGCCTGCATGGTGCCAGGAGTGTCACAGCCTGCATGGTACCAGGAGTGTCACAACCTGCATGGTGCCAGGAGTGTCACAGCCTGCATGGTGCCAGGAGTGTCACAGCCTGCATGGTGCCAGGAGTGTCACAGCCTGCATGGTGCCAGAAGTGCCACAACCTACATGGTGCCAGGAGTGACACAATCTGCATGGTGCCAGGAGTGTCACAGCCTGCATGGTGCCAGGAGTGCCACAGCCTGCATGGTGCCAGGAGTGTCACAGCCTGCATGGTGCCAGGAGTGCCACAGCCTGCATGGTGCCAGGAGTGTCACAGCCTGCATGGTGCCAGGAGTGACACAATCTGCATGGTGCCAGGAGTGCCACAGCCTGCATGGTGCCAGGAGTGCCACAGCATGCATGGTGCCAGGAGTGCCACAGCCTGCATGGTGCCAGAAGTGCCACCACCACCTATAGAACCCGTCACATAGAAAACGCCAAATTAACGATGCTTTAAACTGAACAAATACGTTACATTTCTAACGGATGAGTCGATTCCGTCCATTATGCGACGCATTAGGCGAGTGGACGGGTTGAGGAGCCGTAGACCCACTGTGGCCATGGTGGGGGATGACGGGGGAGGACATTAAAGCTGTAGGGAAGGGACGTAGTGCGGGGGGTCGCTGCCCCCCGCGGCCCACGTGGTGAAGAGGTCCGGGGCGCGGCTATACTGCGTCGTTCCCGCCGCTGCTGCTGCTGCTGCGTCACCCTCTGCTGTTTCCAGCTGCTGTTCCTACTGTCTCTATGGTAGTTGTTGACAAGTCTCTCTCTCTCTCTCTCTCTCTCTCTCTCTCTCTCTCTCTCTCTCTCTCTCTCTCTCTCTCTCTCTCTCTCTCTCTCTCTCTCTCTCTCTCTCTCTCTTCACCTCCGGATCCAGCTCATCAGGAATGCCTACCATATACTGCGCCGGAACCACTGACTAACTACCGGACTACCATCCACGACGTCCCTTGACGTACACAACCACCATTCATACCATCAAACACAAGGAGCTGTCCAGACAACACAGATAACGTCTTTTAACGTTATTACGACTCTCTGTCAACGTAACGGTAGTGATGAAATATACATATGTATATGTATGTTCGCATACATATGTATGTTTGATGCACACATAGAGTACACAAAAAGTCTTCCATCTCTGTATGGCTGGTGCACACACACACACACACACACACACACACACACACACACACACACACACACACACACACACACACACACACACACACACACACTAACAACCGTCTACCAAACAGCGTGGTAGATAGTTGGAACAAGCTAAGTGAGAAGGTGGTGGAGGCCAAAACCGTTAGTACTTTCAAAGCGTTATACGACAAAGAGTACTCGGAAGACGGGACACCACGAGCGTAACTCTCATACTGAACCACACTTAGGTAATGCCACAGAAGATGATTGTAACATATTCTTAGAGACTTAGAGACTTAACAATTCTTAAGAAACACTGAGAAAGTGGACAAAAACAAAAGTGTTTACCAAGGCGCGAGAACGTATTCGGAGCCATAGAGATGTAATTCCTTCGTGTAACAACAGTAAGTAAACAGTAACGTGAACTAAATGGGAATAACTCCATTCATAGTTTCAAGAGCAGGAAGTACCTGCGGGCTCACCATAGCCCGTGCTACTTGGAACTGCTTGTTCCAAGTAGCGAATCTTTAACAACAACAATTCAAGAGTAGCACGATAAGAAGCAAGAGGATCGGAAACTACTGCCACAGGTGACTAACGGGTGATAGGCGGGGGCCCAGGAGCTGAAATGTTGTCCTATAAGCGGGTTGGATAATCTTAAATCTTATGCGGGGGAAAGCTCGCTAAATCCACGATCCTAAATCCATGATCCTAAATCCATGTTACCTTGCGTCAGCCGTTATCTTGCGTCAGCCGTTATCTTGCGTCAGCCGTTACCTTGCGTCAGCCGTTACCTTCAGTCACGAGTTACTTTTCCTCGCGAGCAGAACTCTCGAAATCAACTACAGGTAACTTTAAATCATCCTGCTACACCTGTTCCTATAGCATCAGGTGTCCACTTGTCTGCATTCTTGTCTTAGTGTTGGACTTAAGGCCCTTGGACCTCTGGGAGGGGGCGGGGGGGAGTTATTAAGGCCACTACAACACCTTATTAACTAACCAGCGGGGACATTGATCCTCCGTACCACCTCAAGGTAACGTCAAGGTAACATCGTTACCTCTTGACGTATAACAAGACACCTGCATAGACACGTCAATAACTGTGGCATAAACATTGGGGAGGACAATAGCGCGGTTAGACCGGTGTTACAGAGAACGAGGACAGAGGAGCACAGGGGGAACCAGCAGGGGAGAGGACAGAGGACAGGGGTGGGCAGCAGGGGAGGACAGAGGACAGGGGTGGGCAGCAGGGGAGAGGACAGAGGACAGGGGTGGGCAGCAGGGGAGGACAGAGGACAGGGGTGGGCAGCAGGGGAGGACAGAGGACACGGGTGAACAGAGTAGAATACAGTTTTATCTGCACCATCATTTCAGTGAAAGAACCCGTACACACACACACACACACGCACACACACACACCAACAACAAAGAGGACAACACTACCATTCATTGCGAGCATCAAGTTACTCCGTTGTGTTGCCGACATGTCCCTCTTCCGCTCCCTGTGACGTCATCTTTGTTTACTTCCGTTCAAGCGGGGTTCCGCTCCACACAATCTGCATCTCCGCATTGGCATACCTTGTATAATCCAGCTCCAACTTTTTTTTCCTTGGAGATCCTCCACCTTCTCCGCCCTCTCCACTCCAGTGGTGAATACATCCACTACACCTCTGGTGAACACAGTCATCCACCACTCCACAGGGGAAGATCATCCACCACTCCACAGGGAAAGAGTCAGTACCACTCCACTGGAGAACAGTCCTACTCCACTATGGAACAAATACATCCCCCACTCCACCGGAGAACAAGATCAACCCCCCTACTCCAGTGTCACTATGAATTCCACACCTACTGGCCGTGATACACTCCAGGTGTAGGGGAGGAGGTGCGGCGCGCGGCACTATAGGGAGGCGCGGAGAGTGTGTCTACACCCACACACCCAGAGGGCCGTGTGAGCCCAGCGTAGTGGCCCTCCCAGCGGCCCACAATGCACCACCACCACGCAGGGGCCGGGCGCAGCCCTCCCTTGCACCACCACCACACACACACACACACACGCACGCACGCGCACCCGGGAATCTGATTGTCACCAATAAACATTCAGAGATTCCTTCAAGCTGAACTATGGTATTTTGGAGAGGAACCCATCCGCGAAGAACGCCAGAGGAGGAGTCGTTATCATCGAATGGCCACAAACTAGGGTGCCTCAGCCCAATTGGACACGACGACACGATGTTCCCTGTGTGCCAGAGGCACCAGGGGGGAGGGGGGGCGCGGCCCATCAGGCACATACGTCATGGAGCACTTTAGGAGCATATGGCACTATGTGGTGAGTGGCCATGTTGTCACTCTGCCTACTGCACCAATACAGACACACGCGTCACTCCCACGTCACCACACGTCACCCCCACAATCTAGGCTCGTTCAGGCACGTTCAACATTTTCAACAAACCAAATAATAAAGCATCCAAATACCAGTATTCTTATATATAAATTAGCAGTATTGTATATTTGAATTTGGTGAGAACAGAAGCCTAAATTAGGTTAGGTTAGGTCACCCACGTACTGCGTTTAGGTTCCGCAGTACGTGGGAGAAGCATTTAGTTTACCTGGAGTTTAACTTTTAAGTCTAAGCCTTAAATGTGAGCCTTGAGCTCTGTGCTCTAGTACAGTGGCTGTACTGGAGCTCTGTGCTCTAGTACAGTGGCTGTACCGGAGCTCTGTGCTCTAGTACAGTGGCTGTATTGGAGCTCTGTGCTCTAGTACAGTGGCTGTACCGGAGCTCTGTGCTCTAGTACAGTGGCTGTATTGGAGCTCTGTGCTCTAGTACAGTGGCTGTACCGGAGCTCTGTGCTCTAGTACAGTGGCTGTACTGGAGCTCTGTGCTCTAGTACAGTGGCTGTACTGGAGCTCTGTGCTCTAGTACAGTGGCTGTACTGGAGCTCTGTGCTCTAGTACAGTGGCTGTACCGGAGCTCTGTGCTCTAGTACAGTGGCTGTACTGGAGCTCTGTGCTCTAGTACAGTGGCTGTACCGGAGCTCTGTGCTCTAGTACAGTGGCTGTACTGGAGCTCTGTGCTCTAGTACAGTGGCTGTACCGGAGCTCTGTGCTCTAGTACAGTGGCTGTACTGGAGCTCTGTGCTCTAGTACAGTGGCTGTACTGGAGCTCTGTGCTCTAGTACAGTGGCTGTACTGGAGCTCTGTGCTCTAGTACAGTGGCTGTACTGGAGCTCTGTGCTCTAGTACAGTGGCTGTACTGGAGCTCTGTGCTCTAGTACAGAGTGTAAAAACAGGTAACCTTCCATGCACGGATGGTTGCCACTCCTCTTCCTAACCACCTCTCTACCCCACCGATCCCCGTGAGGCTCTATCAGGCTCTGTGAGGCTTTGTGAGGCTCTGTAAGGATTCATGAGGCTCTATGAGGCCTTGTAAGTTTTTTTTTACTTTATATGGGGGTCTATGAGACTCTGTGAGGCTCTAAGAGACTTTGTGTGTCGAGTGTGAGGGTCAGTGAGTTTCCTTGAGGCTTTGAGTGTGATCTATGAGGCTTTGTGAGGAAACTATGAAGATGTGAGGCTTTCTGCAACGTCTATAGAGCACCTGTAAGGGACCTATGGAGGTCTCTGAGTGTCTATAGAGGAGTGTGAGTGCTTACGTAGGTGTGTGAGTGTCTGTGGAAGTGTGTGAGGGTGTATGAGAGAGGATAGACGAGGTCAACACCCAACTGCTCAACAATTCACACCACCAACACACTCAAAGGCCTCACACACTTGTTGTGATATCACACAAGGAACCTAATTCACGAGCTGTGAGCTAATGTGTACACAATGTAACGATCTCTCCTGCTCTTGATACAGACGAGTCAGAGACACATGAACTCTTGGTGACATTACTGCACCATCACCAGCACCAGCATCACCATCACCACCACCACCACCAGCATCACCATCACCAACAGCTGCATCACCACCACCAACGAATATAATCGTTCCCTTATACATAAAGTGAGCGGCTACACAGCAACCATGTGAGGCGTGTTGGGTCCCTGAAGACAGGAACACACTGGAACACCAGCTGCTGCTGCTGGCGCAGACCTGTGGCCGTCATGAGCCAGTATATCCCCCCCCCCTCCCTCCCGCAGGTGGGGCATGGTTGGGACGGTGGGCCATGGTTCGGACGGTGGGTCATGGCTGGGACGGTGGGACATGGCTGGGACGGTGGGACATGGCTGGGACGGTGGGACATGGCTGGGACGGTGGGACATGGCTGGGACGGTGGGACATGGCTGGGACGGTGGGACATGGCTGGGACGAGCGGACGCTCCTAGCACTGCTACCGTTCCTAGTGTATGTCAGTGACCTACACGAGCGATGAAAAGTTGAAAGGTGTGTAAAAACAGAGGACGACTGCAGAAAGTTACACGATGAACTTAACAAACTCCAGGAGTGGGCTGACAAATTACCTTAAAGCTGTTAGAATTCAATCCCAATAAGTGTAAGGTAATGAAGATGGGAAAGGGAGAGGAGACCAGAAGGCATCTACATCATACGGGAAAGGCAACTACAGGTATCGGAAAGAGAGAGAAAGATTTTGTAGTGGATATATTTCCAACACTAAAACCGGAGGCACACATCAACTGGATAACATCAGCAGCATATGGGACGCTGAGAAATATTATAACATTGTTAGGAAGATCAGGACGCCCTCAAGACAATCTACACAACCTTTGCACTGAGGGAATAGACAAGGACAGCCTCTGAGAGAGAAAGTAGGAGAGGACACAGGTGGAAGCTGAACACACAAATGAGCCGAAGGAATGCAAGGAACTACTCGTATCCTGTACGAGTAGTCAACACGTGGAATGACCTGAAAGAAGAAGCTATGCAAGCCACCTCCATCCACAACCCCGAGAACAGATTTGAAAATCATAAAAAATGGAACATCAGAATAGTTAAATTATAAGACAACAGGTAACACAAAGGCAGTAGGGCGGGGCACAAGAGCTAGAGCACACGTCCCAGGAGTCACAGACAGGTGAGTACTGATAGGTGAGTAAGATCACAACCCCACCCCCCACTGGTCTTCAGTACTCATTAACCGGTAACCTTCATTTCATCAGCAAATTGCAACTCATTTGGGTTAAAATATGCACTGAGGCTTCCCTGATTATTTACACAGCACCAGAACACTAATTGGTAACCAATGTCAGAGTAGTGATGCTGTAACGAGCCTTGGTGTGAGGTGTGGAGGGGGAGGGGGGAGGGGGGACGTGTGAATAACACCACAACTAATACCTGCAGAAGAAACTGTGTGTATGCTACTTAGCATTGTATAAATGAATGGCCACGTACGTGATTGAGAAAAAAAAACACTGCCTGCACCACCACCACCATCACCACCACTAGCACCACAACCACCACTAACACCACCACCACCATCAGCACCACAACCACCACCAGCACCAACACCACCACCACCACCACCACCACCACCACCACCACCACCACCACCACCATCACCACCAGCACCAGCACCACCACAACCATCACCACCAGGAAACAGCAAAGAGAATCAGGGAACAAAAACCATACGAGAAATGAAAGGACAGAAATTAGCATAAACAATGAACAGGAAAACAAACATAACAGCAAAGCAGAACACAGAGAGAGTCAAACAGTGGGGCTGACCAACTGAATGACGCAACAACATGACACAACAGAGAGTACTGCAGAGCGAGATGTTGACAAGAGAGCCTGAGATGCCTCTAGGAGCCGGTGACCACTACACCCAGTCATGCTTCAATACACAATGAAGCTAAAGGAGCTCCTTACACAAACAAAAAGTTGAAGTAAAGATATGACAGATGTTGGTAGCTACATTAAGATGAGGAACTTTCTAAGTAAAAGTCAACGGAAAAAAATAAATTGGAGAAGAAAACCTGTGAAGTGAGGTGATGCAATGGAGCTCTTCATATCTCTTATTTAATAAACAGTGAAGCTCCAGAAACCAATAAACTGCTTTAAATAAATATTCCATTATTTATTCCAACACTGGAATATGGAGCACCGGCTTGGAACCCGCACCTTGCAAAGTTCAAGCCAAACTTGAGAAGGTACAGAGGTTGTGAACAAGACTGGTGTCAGAGCTAAGAGGGTTAAGCTACGAACATAGGCTAGTGATGCTAAACCTTACAGCCCTAGAGGATAGAAGGAACAGAAGGGATATGATCACAACATACAAGATAATAAGGAAATAGATAAGGTGGACAAGGATAGCCTCTTCAGACTGAGAAAAAGTAGGACAAGAGGACATTACGTGGAAACGTAAATGAGCCGAATGAATGTAAGAAAGTACTAGTACTTTCCGTACGAGTACGAGTACTTTCTTACAGTACTTTCCTATACCGTAGTCACCAAGTGTAATATACTGAAAGAAGAAGTTCTATAAGCCACCTCCAGCCACAACTTCAAGGCCAGATTTGACAAAGAATTTGAACATCAAAATAGTTAAGTGGTGAAGCACCAGGTACAAGAGGGTACCTGGTAAGTGGTCGGGACACAGAGAGTGCTACACGCCCCCGTAGACAGTGCCAGGTGAGCACTAGCCACTGACCACTATGCCATAACATGCACAAGGTGTTGCAATCCTGGTTGCAATGAGTCATGTGCACGTGAGCAAGACCACCTCTCCACCAACCCCACACACACGCCAACACTGCCCTCACCCCAACACCACATACCTCCATGCTCACCTCACACCTCACTCTCGGGTAGAGAAGAACACCTCACCTGGAAATAAACAAGATGCCTATAAGAAACATTACATTAAC